TTAGAAGAAGAAAGTCGTGATTTAACATCATTCAAGACACATCGTTCCCAATATCGTTGGAAAGTGATGCCTTTTGGATTAAAAAATGCAGCTTCTACTTTTCAGCGAGTGATGAATGATGCCTTAAGAAAACAACATAGTGATTTTTGCAAAGCATATATTGATGATATTGCTATCTTTTCACCAGATTGGAATTCGCATCTCAAAACATTTAGATGCTGTGCTAACTACATTAAGTGATCTCAGATTTACGGTGAACGTGAAAGAAATGTGTTTTTGCACGTTCGGAGATAAAGTATTTAGGACATATAATAGGAGCTGGAAGACATCAACCTGATCCTGAAAAATTACAAGCCATTGAAATTATAAAAAGTCCTAAAACAAAGACTGCTCTAAAGAGTGCATTAGGCTTATTCAACTATTATCGTGATTACATAAAGAATTATGCAGAAATAGCTCGCCCATTGACGGAGCTTACGAAAAAGAAAATTCCTGAGATAATTCCATGGACTGATGTTGAGGAATCAGCATTTCAAGAACTGAAACGTCGACTGTGTGAAGCACCAAAACTGTACACTCCAGAACCAGAAAAACCTTACACCATACAGTGTGATGCTAGTTCATATGGTGTTGGTGCTTGCTTGTCACAACGAGACAGCAAAGGCAGTTTGCATCCTATCAGCTTTGCCAGTCAAAAACTTTCGAAAACTCAGCAGAACTGGTCAACTATTGAACGCGAGGCTTATGCCGTTGTGTGGTCATTAAAAAAGTTCGAGTGTTGGGTGTTTGGATCGAATATCGAGCTGATCACAGACCATAATCCATTATTATATTTGTATAAGTCGGCACCGCATTCAGCCAAATTACAGAGGTGGGCAATGGCACTTCAGCGCTTATAATATTCATATTTCTCATTGCCCTGGTGCACAATTAAAAAATGCAGATGGTCTTTCAAGACTAGTGGGTGAATGAAATAGGTGTGAACTAAGTATGAACTAATATGTTTTAAAACTTTGCATTAGTTACTTTCTTTTGTTCCGGAATTGTACGAGAGCTACTTTCCATCTGTTTTGAAAATCAAATTACTGGTTTCCATTTAATATTGCATTATAATAGTGTGTTTTGAAATAGTATTGCATATATGTTTTATTACAGAACTCCGGTATTGTATCAAGCCATCTGTTCATCTGTTGTGAGATGAATGTTTATTGCACTTATTTTAAAGTATGTTATTACATCATGTATACATGTTCATATATTTTGAATTAATTTGGTATGTTTATATATGTCATTTAAGTACTTAATTTTTTATTTCAATGTAACAGGATTTAAATATTAATAAGTATTAATTATTAAGCATTGGTATGGGGAGTATACAATTTAAGTTTGTATTTGCTGGTTCAGTTTTCAGATTCTGCTTCGCTTTGGCGTAGCACAATCTTACCGGGGGGGGTGTCATGTATCTGGCAGCGGTGAGCCAATCAGCTGCCTGGCAGAGCCCAGCAAGTGAGAGAGATGAACAGTTGCATGTTAGCCTCAGAGGAGGCAGGTGTAGATTAACTTATGTGTAGGAGCGAGGTAGTGCTCCGAGTTTACCATTATTCTGTGAACGTTAATTATTTTTACCATTATTCTTTGAACGTTAATTTTTAATAAATGTTTGTGTCGTTTTCCTTATGGTGCCTTATTCATCCGCAAGGTCATCACAGATTTAATACATGCCCGAAAAATAACTGAAGTTATAAAATCTACAATCACATTAAGTGAGTCAGTGCTTGAGCAAGAATCCAAACCATTAATGATCAAAGAAATATACTGTGAACAATATTTTTCAAAATATCTCCAATTTCCTTTTTTTTTTTTTTTTTTTTTTTTTTTTTTTTTTATTAAACAGAAATCTACTGACAGAAATTAAAGAAGCATCAGAAACAGATAAGTCGAATTCAATCATTACATGATCTGACAATGATTCACAGTCCGAGAGACACCAACGGGTAACATTTGCTAGCAAATCAGCTCCAATAATTGTGACATCTATGTAGCTTGATCCCTGTTCCGAACAAAAGGTAGGGCCGCAGTCCTCATTGATCACATATAAGTTATAGAAGCTGACAAAATCTCCAAGCTTGTTTCCTCGAACATCACTGTAAGGACTAAACCACAGTTCAGACTTACTATTGGAATCCATACCCCAAATAAGCTTTGCAAGATCCCTAGCCTGCAAAACCAGACTTATTTTCTGTAAATCAAAGTCAATACATCGGGAGGGCTCAAAGTAGTATGAAAATAGAAAATATTTTGTATCTTTAAAAATAATATCAAGAGTCACCATATTATAATCCAAGAATCTCAAATCCAAAAACGTAGGTAGAAATCCGGCTCGAACAACAATAGCAGCCTTTATGACTTCTGAGTTAAAATCATAGTATAACCTAAAGGAACTCGGAAAGCCAGGCATAAGACCATGATAAGAGTAAGGTTCTTGAATAAAAGCAACAGAAACATTGTTTACCTCCATATTCAAAACAAGTTGCTGAGTAGCAGCCTTACATCTATGTAAATTAATTTGAACAAATTTTAAAATAGAATTATGACTATTATCCATAATTTGTTCTTGATATATTTTGACTTCTTATAAATTCATGACAAGAGCAACTTTTAGAAAAAGGCAAATGGCTCACATTTAATTTTTTTTCTCATCTTTTATTTTTTGATTGCGTCTAATGCAATTGATACAGACTTTCAAATTCTTATGTGGGCAATTTTTACTTTCATGTTCACGTGCACAGAAATAACAAGTGCATAGGTTTTTACAATGTTCAACACGGTGATTATATCCTAAACAATTAAAACACCGATTAATCACGACAAAATCATCCACATTACAGATGCTCCAAGAAATGTTTAGTCTACATTCCTGTAAAATACCTCTACACATGTCTGGATGCACCTCAACAACTAAATGTCTCGTATTTTGAAATTTCCTTAACGTAAATCGAATTCGAGATTCACTCCATTTATTTTCAGAGTCAATAACATTTTTTCATAGATTTTGATTTTTTAAAACATCGAGAACATCCTCATCCCTTATCTCATTAGGGACATTTTTTATTAAGATCGTAGGATTCTTTCATCTGGAAGGAAAGGCAATTAATTCTGGTGATTTTACTTGAATTTTAGATTGTATCCTTTTTAAATCATTTTCAGAGGGACATTCTATCAATACCTTGCCATTTCCAATATTTTTTAGATTGAGACTTTTTTCTCTACAGGATTAATTTATAATTTAAGAATCTTTTTAATATCCTCTGGCGAAAGATTTTCCGAAGAAATAACAAGACCACAACTTAAAGAATTTTGTTTCACATTGTTCACAGGAGATGGCAGCACAGTGCTAGCATATGTTGGTTTTACGAAAATGTCTTTAAGACTTTCTCTACAAGCTTCATGGTAATTCAACGACTTAATACGTTCAAAATTCTTAGTAATCAAACACTTTAACTCACACATTGCATGCCTTGCCTCTTCACGAATATTCTGGTTCTTATTACACTTCGACTCAATAGCCGTTTCAAGTTTATCATAGCAACATTTAAGCGCACTATAAAACGCATCATCGTCTTCTTCGTCCATCCTGGCATTCCTTTACTTTGTAGCACTACTCAAAGAAGTAAACAAATCGTCAAGTTAGACTTAACTATACCAAAATCTTGCAAAAGCCATAATATTAACAATACTTCTTTCAACTTGAAACAAATTGCACAAATATAAAGCAGAGCGCTTGCACAAATAAAATTATACACAATAAATAGTTTACACACATTAATTACCGCAAAATAAAGCTGAAAATCAGAGCTCAAGAAAACACACACAGCAATGGCACGAGCACGCGTAGGAATATAATATAAATTTTGCTTGTAAGCGAATTTTTACAGTCAAAATTGCCATTCCCTTTCCTCGTTGCTCCTTTATCCAGTTTACAAGGTCGTCCTCTAGATTCGGCCACCTTACAGTACCACTTTTGGCTCGTTTCTGTTGTGGCATATTTTTAAGTTCTTTTTCAGTTCTCCAACGTCAAATACATCTCTCGTCCACTTCAAACTCTCGAGCTGCTGCTCCATTTCCAATTTGTTCAGCACGAGTAATTACATTAAGTTTAAAACCAGCAGTATAGCTTCTGTGCTGTTTAGGTTCCATTTTCAAAAATTTTCCGCTCCCTTCTTAAAAACTATCCAACAAGTACTTGTACCCAAACTGATGGGAAGAAAAATCGATTCATGCTGAAGAGAAAATATGTCAGAGTTTGTTATTGCAAGGCAAGTGGAGTCGTGTCTGCCTTTGAAAAAAATTGCAGAAAAGGCAGGGCTGGGGAGAGGATGGGTCCTGGAAGATTCATCAAATGGCAGAGGAGAGAGACTATTCAAACTGATGAGAATGCTGATTTGAAAGGGGGGAAAATGTTATTGTTCTGAGATCCCATTTAGGGTGAATAAGGCATGTAAGTCCGTTCAAGGGAAAGAATGTAAACAAAATAACGTTCACAAAAAGCAACTGAGTGGTCTTTTGTGTGGGAACAGCACCAGTCTGTGTACAATGACAAGGTTATTCAAACTATGTACAATGACCATCATAGAAAATATTTTATTTTTAATGCACCTAAACGCTGGCCCTGCTGAAAATTTAAGTTTTAAACACGTAAACGCTGCGGTGTGTCTTCCGGAAATTACGGTAATAAATGGCATACCGATATATTTATAAACAATTTTATTAACAACATTTCCCGTTATTATTTAGGATCATTTAAAATGTGCTAGTTGGCCCGGTTCCACACAGTTTTTGTATATCAGATACTTAAGAGCAATAAAAATTTCTAAAAATATTATATTTTACAGAGGTATTTTAAGTCAAAAAAATAAAATTATTGAAGATACCCAATAGTCTATACCTACTGCTTTACATACACACACACACAATAAAGCCCAGGAGCTGCCTTTACTTACCGGTTTAAGCATGTATCGACTCCTCTCGAGTACTAACTGGCAGAACTGTGGGTTAGTGCAACCAGGAAAGTTGAGGCCTTTCATCTGAGCAAAGACAGAAAGGCACAACAAACAAACAAGGAGGCAGGAGAAGTTTCAGTTAGCAGCAGAGAGGCAACCGCAGAGAGAAAGGAGGAACAAACAGATTTTGAGCAGCACAGAATAAAAAATTTAAAAAAATGACCAAAGGCATTAAACACAATGCATATTTCATGCACTCGTTATATGAAAACAGCTGGTAGTAATTATAAAAGGATAAAGATAGCTTTACAAATAACAATGAAGTATTAAAATTTTTACTTAAAATACTCAATCCCATTTAAAACCTTGGAAATCTTCCAGTTCATATTTCCCTAACTAATACAGCAAAGCTCTTATTGCAAATAGCTAAAAAAAACTTAGTGTTTTAATAGCTAAAATCAGACTCTTAAGCATTTAAGGAAAAGAAAACAGTACAGTAGCATGCAAATTATAAGCCTTAATAGATTTAAACTGTAATTTTAACAGAAATGCCTCAGTAAGCTTACATTTTTTGAAGAATGAATCCCTCCAGATGTAGGACCAGTACCAGTAGGTGTAGAACCTGTAGAAGACAGGCTTGCATTCAGTGCATCTCTCGGATGCTGAATAACAAGGTAGTCTGTCGGTGGTAAACTATCAGCTGGCCTAAAAACAGAATCGAATAATGTTAAATAAAAAATGTAGTAACATTTAACAAAAAATTCTTAAAATAATAGGAGTAATATAAAATACTAAGAATAAAAACAAATTATAAAGATATTTTTTAAAAAAAACTAGGCATTTTCACATACTGAATGTCATTCTTTATCTAAGGAAAGGAAGAAGGTTCCAGAAAAAATTACACTTGCAACAAATGCTGAACTTTTAGATATTATGCCATTAGCTTTCGAGCTGCCCAATACCTTAGAGTGATGTCATGACAGTTCTAAACTGCAATGCATACATCTAAATATTAAGCATTAAATATGTGTATATAAAACACAAAGAAGAGCAGAAATTGAGTTTAAATGAAATAAATGAGCAACCAGATTATCAAGCTCTGCCAGAAGTATAACATAAATAACCACTGAAGAACAAGGATGGTCTGGAACAATATCTTTCTTTGTAAGGATTAAGCTCCATCTTCTCCCATCAGCTGCAGTAGAGAGCTATCCTTCAGTGTCGCCTGATCGTGCGATCTTTCGCAAATTTGCGACTTTTGACAAACTTGTACTACTCGAATTTTAGTATTTGCGAAATCCATCATTTATGCTACTTTTTGAGACTTCAAAGATTTTTTAATATATCGTAAAATGCTTTGATGTTAAAATAACGTATCAATTAAAAATAATTTATATTTTAAAAAAAAACACAGTTTATTTAGGGTTAAATAGAAGTTGGCATCTGGCAATCTTTTTTGCATGTGGGATTTCCTTTTCAAGGCTGCAGAGCCAGATGCTGGTGTAACGAGAAGTGGGCAAAAGAAAAAGAAAATGTGGATCAGAAAGAAAAAAATATGATGTGTACACCACATGACTTCCTTGTACGGAATATTAAATTATATGCATTTTTTCTTGCATTTCATTTAAACTTATTGGATTGAATTAAATCTACTTCGCCGACAGCGCATAAACCACAATAGAATAAATGCATTCTTTAAAATTCACTCTAGTATTTGTTTACCATAGCGACACTCTGGCGCTATATTCACTTAACAGTATTAATCATTATATAACAGTTAACTTATATAATAATTATATAATGGAAACTAAGTTAACTGTTCTATAATCCAATAATTATACAACAGTTAACTTATATATTTCGTTCATATTATAACTCATAATGCAAAAAATGTATATCATTTAAAGAATAGAATTATCTAATCGTTGCCACATGTTCTATTCAAATATTATAATAAAGCTAGAATGATGTATAAAAGAAATTAAGCAAACAAAACAAAAAAGAAATATTTCACAGACGATTGAGTATTTCTCATTTAATTAATTCAGTTCTCACTTCGTGAGAAGGCAAAAATACATAAAAACTCAAAATATCTATATTAAAAATTACGAAGTAAATCTTAAAACACTTATCTCCTCGAAAAAATTCCAGAAAGAATTAAGCATGATTTAATTGGCAATAATAAATGAATGCGTTATCTTTGTTGTTGCGAAGCTAAGTTTCTCTAGATTGGCAACAAATCCACTAGTCTCCTGTTTCAAATGGCCGCCATAAAAAAAGTTTCAAATGGCTCCTGTTTCAAATGGCCGCCATAAAAAAAGGCTTAGCGGCACTTAGACAACTTTAAAATTGTTGATAATTCTAAAAATATTGAATACAGATTTACTAAAGGCATAAAAACCTTAACCGGAAGATTAAAAACAGCATAATACAATTATTTTTAAAGCAAAAAATGTACAATTTACAAACATATAAGAGTAAAGAAACTGAGATCACAGAGCCGTGTAATAGAGTGGATATATATATATAAATATATTTATATACATTTGGTGCGACCGATTGCAACCAAAATAAGAGGTGCACATCTACATGTTATAGCAGTCCTGTATACAAAATTTCAATGTTCTGAGGCTACTCGTTTTTGAGTTATGCGAAATACGTATGTACATACGTTCGTACAGACGCCACGAAAAATTCTTCAGAATTAATTTTAAAGCAGTTTATAATTTTTTTGAAGGAGGAAAAGAAAAGAGTATTTTATTCTGTCCTTACATACAGATATCATGCAAAACATCGTTAAATTGCATTCGATAGCGGTCAAAAATGGATAATTTCGTTGAAATATGCTGCCTGAAACTTTTCGCGATTACAATACTTCCTTTATATTTCGTACAAGGAAGTAAAAAACTGCTCAGGACGCCTCACCTTCCCCCTCGTCCCCCGTGAGTTTTGTTTTTAAATCAGTCCCTCCCCTGCCTCAGTTTTATGGTGATAATGAATCAAACAAAAGAACTTGCAGCTTGCATGCCTTTATTAAGTACCCAGACAGAGAAAGAAATGAAATTCATTCTCCTGATTTACAACATTGTTAAGAAGTATGCAATGGGAATGTATTAAAAATCAAAACAACATCATTTTTCTAAATGATAATGTAAATAAATTTAACAGTGAAAGAACAAGGCTTTCATATGTAATCAGAATCTGAAATAAATCGACCATGCAAAACGGAAATAGGATTGAATACAGTAACTTACGGAACCAATAGACAATAAATTTGTGATGACATCAGATATCATGTGAGCATGCGTAACTATGACGTCACAAAAATCACGTGATCTCTGACGTCATTTGCGACTTTAGTTGAAAAATTTCAGGCAACACTGCTCTCCTTCATCACACTATCATTTTCCTGTGTATAAGTCTCATAAATTAAAAGGGAGAGAACAGACAGGTCTCTGAAAAATGGTGGTAATTCATTTGGCCAAGATATCAGCCATTTAATTTTCATATGTTTCACAATGGACCTACTTTGATACTATTTTATTATTTCATCACTTTAAGATAATCCTAAAGAGCAAAATTCAAAGGAAAAAATAAACTTGCAAATTAGAAGCAGCTTGGAGAAAAGTTACTGAATCTAAAAGAACTCTGGTTTCAGAAAATTTTTGTGCACAAACATGTAACTGCTGAAAGACAATAAGCAACAATCTCTCAATTTCAAAAGGTATGTAGAAAAGGGGGAAAAAATCGATAAAAATAACAGTACTAGCTCCATCATTCATATTTAATAATCAGGCATCTATAAAAATGTACAGCCAAAAATCTTCTGGATAGCAGTTACCAATAGCATTGCTATAACATGAATTTTTTCAGAGTTTCTTTTGTTTATTGACAAAAAAAGTTATAAGATCGTTTTCATGCATCATGGAGTTTAACAGAAATTCAGAAGAAATATTTATCTATCATAAGATAACATAATTTTTGATGATTCGAATAAAACCACTTTGGATCTTTTATAAAACAAAATATGAGTGCAAGAAAAATGACACTCCATTATAATTCTTTGCCATTTGTTTCTTATCTCTACATATAATAAAAGGAAGAGTCTGTCTGTGTGGCTTTCATTCATGCTGTAATAAGCTAATAGACCCAGGGCTATGAAATTTGGTACATAGGTGAATCTAGATATGAGCCAGTGCACCTCTAAGCAATTTTTTCAAAAAAAAATTTTTTCTTTTTTTATGTTTCTTGATGAAATTGCATCAAATCGATGGCAAGCAGCCATTGTTGCTGATATCAGCACTCTGTTGCCACTCGGAAAAATGAGGACAATAATTATGTGCAGTTTTTAAATTTAATGTTTCTCTTGGATACTGGACGTTTGTCGAGAGGCACTTGGATACAATGTTTGTCATCAAGAGGACGTTTGTTTCCGGTACATTTAAAAGTCAGATGAAGGCTAGCCGCTCAGCGGCTAGTTATGAATATATTGCACATAGCCTAAAAGATTAATAAGTACTACTATGTGTTGCAGGACAGATTATTTCTGGCCATGTTTGATAAAATAATAATAATAAATGAAAAATGTAAAAAAAAAAAAAAATGTAGGTGCAAAATGCTTTAGATCACCTCCCTAAAGTTAAAAAGTACTGAGATGTGAAGCTTTACAACAAGGTTAATAAAGGTAGAATCTGTACCATCTTATATAGGCTATGAAATCCATACTGAAAAATTCAAAATAATCTCTAACCAATCAATCAATCAATCAAAATGAACTCTAACCAATCAATCAACCATAAAGTTAAACAAGTCAACAAAGAATCCTGTATTAGAATTAATCAAAATACTCGGGAAAGCATTTCAGGTGAACAGAGAATCCTGTACTAGGATTAATCAGAACCTTCACAAAAGCATGCACAAGGATTAATCAGAACTTTCACAAATCTCAAGAGATAAACAGAGTATTCTGTGCTAAGAATAATCACACGATGAAATGCTTTCCTGAATCTCTTATGCCTAAGCTGTTGATTCAAAAGCTAGGAGCATAAACTGAACAGCTCAAGGGAAAGCAATAATTTTTCACCATTTTATACCAAGGAGTTCATACATATGCCAAAAAGCTAGTCACACATTACATTAAGCATAATTCTTTTCTCCTCCACAAAAAGTTAAATACAGAATCTCATTCTTAGTTATCAAGCCAAATAGAAAGATTTTGACACATAGATAATGGCATTGCCAAGAAATGCCAGAATAAGAAAATGCATGAACCTAGTTTAGTTGCCCACTGACTTGCAAAAGAGATTGAAACAGTATTTTACACACGCAGCTCTGTTTACAAAAATACATAATGACATAAAATTATTAAAATTTAAAATAAGAAAAAACATTAACGTATGGCAAACCTCTGCTGAATTAATTATATATATATATATATATATTATATATTCCCCCCCCCCTTAAATATTAGCAAAAAAGGGCAAAATTCATGTCTCGCAACAAAGAAAACGGCATATGCAAAACACTGTCATACGTATAAATACAAAAGATAAATTACATATTGATATACATTATTATGGAGGTCATTTGGATTTGTTACTTTTAGAGGTTAACACTGATAATCATTTATATATTATTACGTAAAAACTTTTTGAAAGTATAATGAATATAAAAGAATTGGAAATAAAATCTACACAAGCTTAACCTTTATGGTGCTCCAGAATTACAGATAATTCATTGTAATTCAGATGCAATTTCAAAATTTTTCTTCAGCAAAAAAATTTTCATTAAATCTTAAAATTAAATGTCACCTACTTTACACTAATTTCTATAATTTTGTATAACTTCCTATTTAAAGATGATAAAATATATAAATAAACTACATTATTAAATAAAAATAATTTATTTAGGTATATTTTTATATATTTAAAATTAACTATACATATATGTGATGATAAAATTTAGTTTGGCAGTCAGGAACTTTTGAAGAATCACAAAATCACTTGATATTCCAAATATATCTTTATTACTTGTTTCACTTCACAATGGGTGTCAATTTGCAACTGCAATTTTGCAACCCACAATTTTGATGATGGCGTATTACATTTTTAACGAGAACAGAAAAGCAAAAGTCGTCCTTCAGCCAGCAAGCACAAGCAGAGAAAGAGGGAGGGAGTAGGATTGCCACATTATTTAAAATATTTCGTTAATCTGATTGGCTAAAACCTATAGGCAATGCAGTAGTTTCTAGATGACATAATGCAAAATATGTTTTCAGATATGTTGCAGTTTAGAGAATGTTATTACTGGAAACAAAACACCTAAATTTAAAATGAGCAATTAAGATGCATTTTAAATTGTAATTCTGATTTTTTTTTTTTTTTTTTTTATCTTACATATCTCCCCTTCAAAGAGAAAAAGGCTTGTTGACAGAAAAGCTTTCTTAGAAGAAAGCATTAAAATAGTAGCGAAACAAAGGAAATAAAATTAAATAAAAACATAATCATAAAATTTTGATCTAAATGTTTTAAAATAACATCTTGTAAACATGATTTTTAACAAGAAATGTAAATTAAAAATGCTACTGAGTATGCGTTGCGGCATGCAATGAACTACAAGTTGATCTTCAGCACTATCCTTATCTTCAGGGCAGATGTTTTTATTTTATTCAGCTTATAATTCCTTACTAAATGTACTATTTCATCTCGATGTACTCCGTTTTTGATATGATTTAAATCAAATTCCTGTTCATTATAAATACGAGGGCCATCCAGGAGGTAGATTACGTTTCCGTCTGTGTCCGCTAGGGGCGGGGCTAGCGCGGCCATCTTGGGGTCAGAGCGTTGCGCAGCTCAGTCTGCATCTAGCCGTGCTAGTGAGAGGTTTCGTGCTGTGCTCCGTTCAGATACTGTGACGGTTGAATGTCTGCGTTAATTGAAAATCCTGCGAGGTGCGCTCAGTAATAAGGTTTTGACTGCAAAAAACTGTAAACCGATAGAAATCTATCGGCAGCTTTGTGAAGTGTATGGGGGACAACATTATCACTGAAGGTGGAGTGCGTCAGTGGGTTCATAAGATTTCAAAAATGGACGAACCAATGTTCACGACGAAGATCGAAGTGGGAGACCAGCATAGTGACCGCCGAACTTCTCGAAAAGTCGATGCTAAAGTCCGTGAAAATCGAAATTTCACAATAAGGAACTTTCTTTGAGTTTTCCACAAATTTCGCGAAGTTTGTTGCCACGAAATCATCAGCGAAAAGTTGGTTACCACAAGTTTTGTGCAACATGGATTCCAAAAATCTTGACATAGGACCACAAAATCAGGAATCGCTGCAGCGTTGAACTTTTTGGACGCTTACCATAAGGATGGTGACTCTTTACTCGATCGCATGTTACGGTGACGAAACATGGGTGAAACATGTGAACTGTGAAACGAATTGCAATCAATGCAGGGGGGCACCAAGTTCTCCCCAAAACCAAGAAATGCATGCAAACATGTCGGCAAGGAAGATGATGGCGACTGTTTTTTGGGACAGAAAAGGTGTAATTTTGGTGGACTTCCTGGAAAGAGGCACTACAATAAACTCTCAAAGTATTTGCCAAACTCTCCAAAAACTCAGAGAGCAATTAAACAAGCGCAGAGGAATGTTGAGCTCTAGATCTTGTTGATTCACGACAACGCCCGGCCCCACACGGCAAATGTCACCGTAAAGTTCTTGAATCTTTTAAGTGGGAGTGTTTCCCTCACCGCCGTACAGTCCCGACCTGGCACCGAGCGACTTCCACCTATTCCCAGCAATGAAGAAGTGGCTGCTATGCAAGCGTTTGATGACGACGCACAGCTCAAAAGAGGTAAGAAGTGGTTGAAGGCGCAGGTGGCCGAATTTTTCGACGAAGGAATTTCCAAGCTAGTACATCGCTACGATAAATGCCTTATTTGTATGGTGACTATGTAGAAAAGTAGTATTGAGTGTGGCTTAATCTGTATATAATAAAAATTTGTTTCCTATACTTTTTTATTTTTTTTCCAAAACGTAATCTACTTTCTGGATAGCCCTCGTATCATGAATAAACTCAAATAGTTTTCTGGTTGCAATTTTCTAATTTCGACTATGCGTAAGATACTTTACGCATTGCGCGTGTTGAAAGAAATGTTTATAAAGTAAACAAATAAATATTAGTTTTTTTTTTTTTTTTTTTTTTTTTTTTTTAATTTTGATACTCTTTAGATCATAATTGCTCTTTATTTCATAATTACAGTTTCATATTTTAAATTTTATAATTTCTGCATGCCATCTTACCAGATTTAAACTGATGATCTATAATCAAAACCGATAATCTGGAATCGCCGAAGTTCCAACGAGTCCGGATTAAAGACTTTTGACTGTAATAGCAATGATTAACAATTACACATTTTTAAAAAATGATATTTTTAGTTGCACTAAATAAAACCTTTTGTTAAAAAAAAAGCCCATACGAATCAGAAGTTGATGAATAAATCGTTCAAGAAAAATCATTCCAATTTTTAATTCAGCTTAGATGAGAAAAGCAAACTGTAGTAATAAATTATTCACAGAAAGAACGATGACCTCGATAATCAGTAGGTTACATTGTTGAAATAAACTCTGAACCTTTGGACACATTAATTCAATTTCATTACTCTATATTAATATTAATTTTTAAGAATGGATTTCTTTTCACTTTAAATATTTATACTTTAGGCACAGTGATTTTGCTGATGGAAATACTTTTCAACGGCACACTTTTTAATCACGAGAAGACTGTTACTCTTGATTCTGGAGTCAACACATTTCGCTGACGTCATTTTTTTCAGATACTTTTTATCCATTGGAGTTAGCAGCAGAGATTCATCCTACTCGACTCTTTAAATTGTCATATTTTGGCAGTCGCAAACTTTTGAAGAATCACAAAATCACTTGATATTCCAAATATATTTTTATTACTTGTTGCACTTCACAATGGAGGTCAATTTGCACTCCACAATTTTGATGATGGTGCATTACATTTTTAAAAAAACCAGAAAAGCAAAAGCCGTCCTTCAGCCAGCAAGCATAAGCAGAGAAAGAGTAGGATTGCCACGATATTTATAGCAAAATATTTCGTTAATCTGATTGGCTAAAACTTATAGGCAATGCAGTAGTTTTTAGATGACATAATGCAGAATACGTTTTCAGACATGACGCAGTTTAGAGAAAGTTATTACTAAAAACAAAGTACCTAAATTAAAAATGAGAAATTAAGACGCATTTTAAATTATAATTTTGATTTGCATTTTTTTATCTTACATACATATATATATTATTTTATCATATAACTATAGTGAATTTATTTATTTATTTAAATTAACAAATGTTACTACAGCATAATTTCATCAATATAATTATTGTAAAAACTTAAATTATGTTTCTTACATAAAAACTTCAACAAAAAAAAAGACAGAGATATACAAAAAGAAAAAATTCACCTTAATAAATTTAAAGCATCATATTCTTCATTATCTTCAAGCCATGGCACAGGTTGAAGAAGTACTGATATATCAAGCTCTTGTATTTCTTTGGGAGTTGCTAAGGAAATTATACCTGGCTTTTCCTATGAAAAATGAAATATTAAGAATAAAACAAAATTAGCATTTTTTTAAGTAAAAACAGCATAATATTTTGAGGAATTTAGGATAGACAGCCAAAAAAGGATGAAATTATAACTGATTTTATTTTACAGATAGAAGCAATATGAATATTGTTATATCACTCTGGATCATTTCATATACAGAACTGCTATACAGAAATACTATTCTTTCAAAATTATGTAAAAACTAAACAACAATAAATTTATGCCAACATTTTTTCAATCTTAAAATGTGTTTTTAGAATGGAGGTAGAAATACATGGAGTGGACGTCATGCCCCAAATTCCCATGACCAGAAACAAGTCAGCTTTCATACATTTCACTCTCTCTTTATCGACTCTTGCACACTCCTTTTTTACAGTGAGGTACTATGGGCATTGATGATAATCTCAACAATACCTGATATTTTTTTCTGCTATTGGATGTTCAAAGATAACTGATGCATTAAACATTTTAAAAACTAAGCTTTCATGGGTACATTTTATTTTTACATATAAAATAATTTTCAAATTTCCTTTCTATTTGCCTTGTTTCTGCTTTCTTTTGTGTTTGAAATTAATAGGTGTATGAATTTGTACAAAATTAAACGTAGATGGGTTTGAAAATTCAGAATCAATTGTCAAATTCCCAAAAATTACAAAAAAACTTATTTGATGTCCAAAACAGCTGAAATTTAAAACATAAGTTGTTGAAAAATCCTGTATATACTGAATAATTTCTAAGCTGTTGAATATATGGGATTTGACCTCAATAAAAATTTGAGTGATGTCACAAAAGCTATAATAGCATACATTTCTGTTTTATCATTAGAAATCAAAAAAATGAATTTATATGAACAATGGGTTTTAATATAATATTTATTATCTAAGAATCAGAAGCATATATTGGTTTTACACCAAAATATGCTTTTGGTCCTTAGATAATAATATTGGAAAAGTTACATTAAAAAAAAATAAGATACATAATTAATAAATGAATTCACTTTAAAGGATAAAGGAGAGTATTCACTTTAAAAGATAAAGGAGAGTATTTCATACATTTATCAGTAAAGTACAATCAAGTTTTTGATAAAAGAAGAAGGAATACCAATCCTGGGCAAAAGTCACTAATGCAGATGCTCTGAAGCGGGCTGTACTTTAACTGAAGATTTAGAAATTTAAAGGTATATTGTTAATTTGTTCCAATTAATTTTAATTTGTTACATACAAACACACTAAAGACATTTCATAAATATCTTATTTTATGACTATTACAAATGACTAATGCTCCTGAATTTTAACTGCAAGATGTTTAACAATTATTTTAAGAGTGTGAATCTTTTGGTGCATTGCAATCATGGGGCTCAAGCAGCAAAAGAAGTAAATAATAAAACACTCTGCTTCTGAAACAACAAAGACTCAAATTATTAAGGTTTAAAATTTAAAAATAGTCTAGAAAATCAATAAAAGCAATCTTTGCCTCTATCCGTTCAAACCCTACAGGCCGAAGTAAGCATTGCAAAAATTATAGCATTAGTAACATAGATAAATTTTAAAAGCTTGCAAAATAATACACAAATTAAAAAAAGTATTATTTTGAGTATACTGAGTCCAAAAACCAAATTTGTAAAGTAATAATCCAATACTTGAAAACAAAACCATATGCAAACTTTTTAATCCATTATTTGAAAAAAAAAAAAAATCTATACACAAATTTTGAAAACATACAGGCCAGCAGGGGGGGGGATAAGAAGCATAAATAGCAAACAAGGAATAAAGCTTAAAAATCTAATAAACATATTTTCAATTTTAGTGGATCGAGTCTAAAAATATACAAAACAGAAGTAATCCAACATATGAAAAAACAAATGAAGTAAACTAAAATTTGATCTAAAATATAAAATACAGGAATAAGTACCTAAAATCTGTAACAGAGCAATAAAGGTTTTGAAATGAAAAAATATATTTGCCTGTATAGTAGAAAAGCCAAAACGGTTTAAGAATGAATTTAGATAAACAACGAATTTTAAACTGTTTAAGTTTAATATCAAGGTGGCATTTTCCTTAGCATTTTTGAAACAATTAAAAATGCATAGAATTACACATAATTAGCAGTCTGAGTGAGCCGGTAAAAATGACCAAAGCAGTGAAGCTTATCAACAAAAAAAGTCTTACATATTTTTTAGTACCTCAACAGATCTCATAAGGTGATCATGAAGCAGTGATTTTAAGGAAATACGTAAAACCTGCATGGCACTTTTGCAGGAGAAACAAAATTTGCAGAGCTACAATTATTGACTCACTGGGAGAAAAAAATTCAGGAACAAACACAGCATTGTCACCACCACATTATTTGAATGCAAAATCCATGATCATTTCCCCACAACAGGTAATTTGTTTTTATAAAAATGCTTCATACAAATATGACAAAACACTCGGTAACATTCTTAAAAAACAATGTAGCTGCCTTCAAAAACATTGTAACAAGGCACCAATTCATGACGTACAAAAATTCAACAATAAAAGAAAACAGTCAACATTAGTTAAATTTTCAACCAATTTTGATATGATGATCAGTCTTGCTTCAATTTTTTAATACTATTCATTTGAATGTTACACTCTTTCTATAACAATACTTTAGATTCATAAATTCATCATCAGTAATAATGCATTTTAAGAAAGATTTGCATTGAGAAAGTTTCCCTTGAGCCACATGAATATGTTTATTTATTGTCCTTTGAAAAAAATTTATTGCTTTTAATTTTTTTTAAAGAATTTGATTGTGAAAATATGGATTAATGAATTTTCTTTGTTCAATTATATTTGGCGTTTTAAGGAAATCATGAAAACAAAAATTTTTTATTCATTAAAAATGAATTTGCAAATTATAAAAGGAAATATGAATTCTTTTCAGATGTCAAAGAAAGCTGTAACAAATTCTAAACAAAATTTTGTGATTTCTAGTATGTTCATATTTTAAATCAATCCTTCCTAATACTTTCTGATTGCAGTTGTGTGTGTGTATATATATATAGATAGATAGATAGATAGGTAGGTAGGTAGGTAGGTAGGTAGATATATATATAGATAGATAGATAGATAGATAGATACACATATATAGCTATAATAAATTCTTCTGCATGTTAAAAGAATTAAATATTTAACTTTTTTGTAATATTCTTAATCAGAATGTCTACAGTAAATTTCTACTTCAATCAAATTATAACGAATAAAAACCAAATTGGGTATGCAAAAGCACATATTACATTTAACGTTTTTGTTATAACTTGTTAAATAAAATATATGTTAACTGTCTTTATTTAAAAGCTGATACTCTTCAGAAGTAAAACATATTTATTTGTACATTTAATATTGCAGTTTTTAAAAAAAATTCTAAAAACTGCCCATACCTGACAGATGCAAAATGTATTTATGGTATCTTGGTCTTTGTGAATGATTCGAACTGTGTCAAACGAATTTGCAGCACCCTCCTTCGGTTCAACACCTTGATCTTCTTCCTAGAATATATTTTATTTGAAAATTGAAGAATTATCAGCCACAGAATAAAAATTATTGTTAACTGGTAAAATTTCTTTGAGGTAGGAAACACTACCTTCGCAACGTGTGCCTTTCGCCTGTATATATATCGAATAAAAATATCTTGGACGTGTTCTTGTCTCACTAAGAAATTCCAGAGTCTTTTTATGGGTAAAACAGCTCGATGGTTTGACCTAGAAAATATATATATTACAGCACTTCATTATTCCACATACCTGGTAATTTCTTATAAATAAATCTTATGCAAAATTAACATAGTAGACAATAAACTTTGAACAACAAAAGATTATGTTTTCAAAGAACAAAGAAAAGAAGGTATTAAAACTTTGGAGTAACAAGGTGATATTAGCATAGTTCACTTTGATTATAAATATATGCAAGCCTTTTTATTTCTAGAGGAAAGCAATTTGGAATAACAAGGCAATATTAACATAGCTCACTTTGATTATAAATATATACAAGCATTTTTATTTCTACAGAAAAGCAATTTCGAGTAACAAGGCTATATTAACATAGTTCATTCTGATTATAAATATATAGAAGCCTTTTTATTTCTACAGAAAAGCAATATATTAATGATTTCCTTGTAAAAATTATGAGAGTATTTCATCACAAAAGCCTTGAATATATGTAATTTTTTAAAATTTACTCAACACACAATATATCAAACATTTTACTGTTCGCTGCATTCAGTGAACATGAATTATTTACCTAAAAGGTGTATTATGGAGTTCCAACAAGGCTGAATATCTAAGAACTGCAGGTCCTGTATGACTAGAGGAAATGGAACAACCAGGAATGTAATTTGGTGGTGGTCCATCAAAGGAATCCATATATTGTTTTAAATCTTTTAACCACATTTCCAGGCACTTGAGTACAGCTTGAATTAATGGGCTTATAAGGGGCAATTCTGAAATTTCATTAAAAAAAATCAGAATGATTAAAATACAAAAAAGCAAAATTTTATGATTTATTACAGTTAAGTAAATTAAATCGTTATTTTATATTATAAGACCATACAATTTAAATTATGAAGTTAAAAACTCCTACATAATAAAGATTACTGTTAAATTTAACAGTTAGTTAATTATTAATTAATTTAGTTGGCTTATTTAACCTATTAAGTAAACAATTAACCATTAAACAACAGTTAATTTTCAATCCTAATAGTCAAAAAGAGAAAGAAATTAGAATAATAGTTAAAAATAAGAAAATAAAAATTCCTTTTAAATTTCAATATACTGTAAACCTACTTAAGTAATCTATACACACAGTGCTAATAACTGACAGTGCTAATAACTAACTAAATATCAACAATTGACGTCTTTTGAGTGGAACTATGGAACAGTTACCTATGGAGACTGCAACCTTTTTTTTTTCGGGGGGGGGGGGGTTTGTGTGTATCCCAGAAGTCCTTTTATACTACAGATGACAGGTACCTGACAAAAGACTTGAATGATCCACTATACTAAAAGCTATTCATATTCCTAGTATTGTATATGGAGGAAAAGTTCAATCAAGCATGAAAAAATTGCAAATATTTAATTAACAATAATAACAATATTGAACTGTTGTTATGGCCCTATTTTATAAGTATTTTATATTTTTGTATGTATTTAATTATTTCATAAAATTGACTTTAACGTTTTGTAAATATTTATATTTTTTATGCTGAATGGCAACAAGTAATTATTCATATTTATACTTCTTTTGTGCTGAATGGCAACCAGTAATGATTCATGATTACTTTGGTTTTCAAGTGTTGTTATTCTAGTAGCAGCTCATTTTGATATCTGAAAAATAAAAGCAATAAACTTAGCTATTTATTTATAATTTTTGCTGTTCCGGTGCTACTTTGGTAGACGGTTGCACATATTTTCGCGATTTTTCTTTTGGCGAGTAATACGACTTATGTAAACCCATTGCTGGATAAGTTATTTATGGTAACCAATACTTTGTTGTCTTTTTTTTAAAAATAATGGTTTTATTAGCATAATTCCTTGTTTTTAGTATTATATGGCTTCTAAATATTAAAAATCAATTTAGTTTGCATTTTTATTGAAATAAAAATTTGTTGTTTATGTATTTTTATATATTTTATGTTTGGATGATGTATCATGCTGTCACCTTGCTTAAAATTCCTTGGTTTTTTAAGTATCTATAAATTTAATCTAATTTTTAAACTTATTTCTGGTTGTAATATTAAATACAATTTAATTTGCATTTTATTTGAAATCAAAATTTTGTTGTTTTAATATTTATCTAATTTTATGTTTGTATGATGTATCATGAATCACCTTGCTTAAAGTAATTGTTTCTTATGTATTTATAATTTATCTATGTTTTAAACATATTATGCTGTTAATATTAAAATACAATTTAATTTTGCAATTGTTTTAAAATGATGTTATTATGAATGATTATTTAAATAATTTAATTCTATGAGTGATGTAATCAGCTCCTGATTGGTTTACTGAATATTTGTGCATTTACGGCGCCATTTTAAAAATTTATTATTGATCTCTTCGTTCCCAGATTTCAAATGGAATGGGATATGTCCCGTTTTTGAATGATGTGTTATTGGTAATAACAAGAATTATTGGTATCAGAATAAAAAAATTGCCCTTTGAGACTTATTTTGGCCAACCTTCTTTCCTAATCAAAGATTTTTTATAATTGTTAATAGTGTCAGAGAAAATTATGTTAAATTTTTGGAGAATATTGCTAATTGATTCTTCAATGAAATGCGAGAGAGGTGGATCACAAAGAAGATCGTTAGAAGACCCCCCCCCCCCCTTTTTTTTTCGTACTTATCATATACGACAGGTAAAATACTTTAAAAAAATGTAAGTACATCATTTTTTTTACTTTATAATTGTTACTTAATTTTATTAAAATTAATAGAATGTTTTCAAATTTCCTGAGATTTATTAACAATGTTTTAATGTTAAATAATTAAAATCCTATAAACTTATTTAAAGTTTTAAGTAATATTTTAATTCTTTTAAATTTAGTATGATGTTTTTTAATTGATTTTCAATATAAGTAATATTTTAATCCAATACATGTTGTTGGCAATGTTTCATAGCGTGTTTTTATTCTATTATATAAAAGTAATATTTAACCTTATTTTAACATTTTATACTCTTAGTAAATGTATTTATTTACATTTGTCAGCCATCTTAAAAAACAACATTTTCAACAAAAAATTAATCGATTATTTTTAACGATATTATTTTTTTTAAAGTTTTGAATACTTTACTATATGCGTAAAATACGTAAAAACTGCATTTTTCAAGATGGCTTACGACTGTAAAAAACGTGCCAACAATTGTGCCAGTGTAAATCACCAAAAATCCGTGCAACCATCTACCAAAGTACCTGTTCCTACCAACTGCTCTACCAACCATGTCTACCAACCGCTGTTCCTATTCATAATTTAGTTTGAACATCAGTAGTCAAGGCTACACTTTCATGCAATTCCTAGATCTGATTTGTTTCACGGAATATTGCAGTCAAGACAGTAGGTTAAACTACCTACTTTTTTGTTCATTCCTAACTCTAGAATACAAATTGCAATAAAGATGTAATCATTGCAGATATACAGTGGTCTAAAAATATTACCCTATTTTAATAAAATTATTAAAAATAAACTGCATAATTCAGAAGAAGATGATTTTCAATATAGGAATGATAAATATCCACAGCTTTGTTACTCTACCTGTATATGTCAAAGGTTTTGTATATCTGTTCCTGTTCTAAAACTGCAGATGCGCACAAAACAATAATTTACCTGCAGGTTTTAAATGACTAAAGTCTCAAGAGTATTAGAAAAAATTTTGCTGAAAAGAGCCAAACAAGTAACAGTGTGTGTTTAAATTTGTGCTAAAATAAGCTAAGCAATATCATAGCACCTGTTTCAATTTTATATATCAAAAAAATGACTTGTGGTATAATAACACTTCTCTTATTTACATAAACAATGCATCAATATTGAAAAGAAGTGGCACTCAGTATAATCAGTCAAACGAGTTTTAAATGCATATCTTATTTACATACAAGCAATTGGTGCAAAATCAATGTCTCATTTAGATTTTATCTTGAATATTATTTTTTGATGTATTTTGTATGGGAGAAAAGAAAATACAACTTTTTCAACATATTGATTTGAAGAAAAGAACGCTCAATTTAGTAAAATTACCAAGATGTAATTTGCATCAATGCTCAGTCTGTCATAAAAAACTAACATAAACTAACATAAATTCATGAACAATATAAAAAGAAAATCTATCCAAGACTTTCTGACAAACATAAATGTTATAAAAATTAATTATTTTTTAATTAAAATGCTGCTTGTTCTCAGAGTTAAAAATATTTCAATTAGTAATATATTAATTTATATTTTATTAGTATTTGAATATATACATGCATGTTATCAATTTTATAAACATTTCATATTATTTAACAAATAAATATTATAAATATTTTCAATGTTTTTTTTGGGGGGGGACAAAAATAATTGGAAAAAAATCGGCAAATTGATATAAAACACTGTGAATGTATACTACAGTACAAAGTCCATAATCCGGACTCGTCAGGACTTTGACAATTCCAGATTCTGGGCTTTTTCCGGATTTAAGATCATCAATTTAAATCTGGTCAGATGGCGTGCAGAAATTGTACAATTAAAAACATGAAACCGTAATTTATGAAAAAGAGCAATTATGTTCTAAAGAGTATCAAATTTTACAAAAAAAAAAGCTTAAAAAAAATTGATATTATTTGTTTAACTTTATTAAACATTTCTTTCAACGCTCGCATGCGTAAGTTGCATACTTTTGCGTAATGTATGCGCATTCATTTACACGCACATGCGTAAAGCATACAAAAATAAAGTTCATGGCTTTGACGTCCGGATTATAGATCATTCCGGATAATGGACATCCAGATTACAGACTTTGTACTGTATTTAACACAAGGGGTAGCCAACCCTTGCACCTACGAAGAAAATTGACGCTGTAGCTTGGAGTCACACAATATGCTACATTTGGCAAGTACTTAGGGGTATGTCCTAAAATAACAACCTTTATTTCAAAATTTTTACAGCATTAATTATTATTTTCAAACAATCTTTGTATGAAAATAGTCCTGAGATGGTTAAAAATATAGAATATACACAAAATCGAAAATTCGATTAATATTCCATAAGTGGGGTGAGCGCCAAACTTTTCAATTTTTTCAAGGAGTTTTTACTTTCTTGTACGAAGTAAAAAGGAAGTATTGTAATCGCGAAAAGTTTCAGGCAGCATATTTCAACAAAAATATCCATTTTGACCGCTATCGAATGCAATTTAACGATGTTTTTGCGTGATATCTGTACGTAAGGACAGAAAAAAATACTCTTTTCCTTCAAAAAAATTATAAAACTGCTTTAAAATTTATTCTAATGAGAATTTTTCGTGGCGTCTGTACGAACGTATGTACAAACGTATTTCGCATAACTCAAAAACGAGTAGCCTCAGAACGTTGAAATTTTGTATATAGGACTGCTATAACATGTAGATGTGTACCTCGTATTTTGGTTTCAATCGGCCGCACCAAACGTATATAAATATATTTAAATATATATCCACTCTATTACCTGGCTCAGTGATCTCAGATTCTTTACTCTTATATGTTTGTAAATTGTACATTTTTTGCTTTAAAAATGATTGAATTATGTTGTTTTTATCTTCCGGTTAAGGATTTTATACCTTTAGTAAATCTGTGTGCAATATTTTTAGAATTATCAGCAATTTTAAAGTTGTTTAATTGCCGCTAAGTCTGTTTTTAATGGCAGCCATTGATGTTTACATTAGAAACAGGAGACTAGTGGATTTGTTGCCAATCTAGAGAAACTTGCTTCGCAAC